AGTAGTGGATCTCGCTTGCGGCCCCGCACTACTCGCGCGCATCGTGCCCAACAGGGAGTTCCGCCGACGGCCCCGACGTGGGAGCCCGCACATGCGGTCTCCTGGCCCATGCCGGCACACCCCGTCACACGGATCTCGGCCCATCGGTGGCTCCACCAACGGCCCCCGTGGGGGAGCCCTCATGCGTTGCCCCCCGCCCCCTCACACGGACAGAGCCCTACAGGGAGCTCCGAGCGCGGCCCGGGTGGGGGACCTCGCGCATGCGGTCCCCCCCCCCCTCTCGGCAGGCTCCTTGCACGCATCGTGCCCCTTAGTTGGCTCTAGCCTCGGCCTCGGCGGGATTTTCGCGTCCCTCCTCCTCCTCCTCCTCCTCCTCGGCCTACTCTCCCCGCCCGTCTCTGCGCACCCCCGATCCAAGTCGTGCCCCACCGGGAGCTCCGCCTGCAGCTCCAGCGGGGGCGCTCGTGTGCGCCGCCCCCCCTTCTCTGCTAATGAAAGCTGTGCGCGTCCCGCTTAGCTTCCAGCGGCAGAGGTTCGCTCTCGCCCCGCAGATCAAGAAAGTGCGCCAACTCCCCCCGGCGCAGATCGGCGCACCCCGTCGCGCGGATCGTGCCCAAAAAGGGGGCCCTGCCGACGGCCCCTTGCGGCGGAGCTCGCCGGCGGGCCCCGCTTTCTTGGGCACGCGCCCCCTCTCTGCGCGGGTCGTGCCCCGCGAGGAGCTCCACTGCGTTCCCTCCCACGGCGCGCCACGCCTGACGCGAGAGGACCCCTCCCTGCGCTGCACGCAGCTGCATAGGGTTGGGTCCTTCGATCGTTTTTCGTCCATGTCTCTGAATATTTCATCGCTTCGCCTCATTCCGCCGGCCCTGGAGCCCTCTTTAGGGCCTCTTGGGGGCCTCTTGGGGGCCTCTTGGGAGTCTCTTGGGGCTCCTCGGCGGCGTCTTGGGGGCCCCCAGGGCCTCTTGGAGGGATTACGGGGGCCTCTTGGGGCGATAGGGGGGGTAGTCGAAGGCGGCTCCCCCTTCGGAGGCCACGATCCTCGTGAGGGGTGTCGAAAATGGCCCTCCCCTGGAGTGCTCTGGTAGCTTCTCCGGGGACGTTGCCAGGGTACTTTTCGTCCGGGGGCCCCCAGGGGCCGCTCCGCGCGCGCGAAGTAGAAATATTGTTGACCAGTTACCGGAGATCTTAGCACGCCTCTGGCCCGTTGGCGTTGGGCCGGCGAATTCAAGTGGTTTTCGCAATTCCGCCGACCCCCAGCGGAGTAGAGACGGCCAGGGCGTTCCGTAGGCCATGTTGGAGCTGGAGTGGCTAGGTGTTTTTCATGCCCGCAAGGGTGGAGGAGAATGAGGATGAGGAGAGGAGGACGAGGACTGGTGCAAACCCATGACCCGTCAACGATGTTGGAATCAACCCTCCCGCCAAGCTCCCTCTTCATAGGCCCCGAGAAGGATTTATTTCACTGGGGAAAGTGCGCCGTCGGGAGACAACCGTTTGAACATCTTGGAGCGCACCAAAACGCCATTATCTGAATTTCAACGCCATGAACCGACTTGACTGTTGCGTCTTGACGGTCCTGAATCGTGACAGAACTCAATTCCCAGGCCTTCAACACCGCGAATCAAGGTAATTGGGACGCCCTGACAGTCCTGAATCGTTCCAAAAAATCGTTTCTGGTACGTTAACAATGGCACCCCGTGAAAGTAGTGCAATGTGTAAAGGATGTGCGCGGCGCTCAGACGAGAGCTACATGTTGCACCGGAACCGCATCCAACCCGTGAAACTTTTGCAATATGTTAAGGCGAATGTGCGCGGTGTTCAGACGAGCGCCACGTTTTGTTAACAGTCCGCCCTCAATATGTGAACTCGTGTAGCATGTTTAAGACGAGTGCACGCGGTTTCAAGGCGAGAGTCACATTTTGAAACCCGCCCGCCCTCGGCCAGTGTCATTCCTACTGACTGTTAAGACGAGTGTGCGCGGCGCTAAAGCGAGAGCCTCATTTTGGAAGCGGCCCGCCCTCCATCCATGAAATTGCTGCCACTTCTCAAGTCAAGCTTCGGGCTCATAAATGGTATGGAAGTTTCATGCGAAACGCCAGGCCCGCCCTTCCGACTAGGTTCGGGGTGCGACAGGGAGGAGCATTTTTTTAGGAAAAGGAGTTGAGGAGGAGGAGGAGGAGGAGGAGGAGGAGAAGCGGCATTGGGTGGAGTGAGGAAGGACAACATTTAGAGGTGCAAGGGGAGCTGTTGGTATTTCACGGCGCTGCTTGAGGGCTTCTGGTAGGCTTCTGGTGGAGGCTTTGCGGAGCCTTTTGGAGGCTCCTGGTGGGCTCGTGGGGGCGGCTGTGAGATTTGTGGGAGAGCCTCTAAGATGGATATGAGGGTCTTTTGTGATGTTTCTGAGGGGCCTCCTAATGTGCTATTGGCGGCATCTCTTTTGCTTTTTGGAGCCTCTTCGGGGCCTCTAGGGCTCCTCTTGAGGGCGCTTCGGGTGTCACTGGTGGGTTTTTAGGACCGTCGCGGCGGGAAAGACTCGAGATGTCAGTTCGTATTGCCACTCTTGGGCACCTCTTGGGATGCTTTTTGGCCATCTTAGGGTCCCCTGGGGCCGTCTTGCGGATGAGGGCCCTATTGGGCAGTCTTGGGACCCTCTTGGGGGCCTGCTGGGCTGGCTTGGGACACTCTTGGAGCTCCTCGGGCCGCATTGAACGCTGTCGAGACGAAAAAGGCGAGTGAACATGCACCTTTTCTTCCGGGAATGAAGCGATTTTTGTCTCTTGGGGCCCTCTCGGCGGTCCTCTGGGAGCACTATTGCGCCGTTTTGGAGGCCCCGTTGTCCGTCTTGAAGCCATCTTGTACCGTCGCAGACTACCACCTTGAACCGTCTCGACACTCTCTTGGACTGTCTCGGCGCTCTGCTTCGGCCCTCTTCGACCGTCTTCGGGCTCTTTGGAGCCTCCGGAAAACCCCGGGGTGCATTGACGAGTTCGTGCCCCCCCCAGGACTGGTTATGGGACCCCGGAGAGGCGGAAAGGGAGAGGGGGACAACCACATGTCTCGCACGCCTTATCACCCCCAGCACGCGGTGGTCAGCGGATTACCCGTTCATTTTTTATGTGTTTTTCTATTCGTTTTGTTATGGTGCTTGTTTGTTGTTCTTGCCCTCCCAACGCCTCTTCACATTTCTAGCTTGTTGCATACATGTGTGTTCAGCTTGGAGTGTTTTTAGAAGTCACTGGCTTGCTTTCGTTATTGCAGATAGATGTTTTTGTCTGAAGCTTTAGATGCTTCGCGTAACATCACCATCCAGAAACGATGCCCAAGCGAGTTGCCCTGATCAGGCATGTGGAGGAGCACGCAGTGGAATAAAGGCTGGGGAGCTGTCATACCCCAAGAGAGGGAGGATAGAGGATGAAGCAGAGGAGGAGGAAGAGGAGGAGAAGGAGGAGGAGGAGGAGGAGGAGGAGGAGGAGGAGGGGGAAGGAGGAGGAGGCAGAAGGGAGGAGGGAGGAGGATTAGGCGGATGAGGAAGAGGAATCCAAGCGGAGAGCGAACAGGAAGGCCAGAGGCCTCTTCGATGCTTCTCAGAGTCGTTTCGGATATCGTCTTGGGGGCCTTTTGGCGGCGCCAGGGGGCCTCTTGAAGCGTCTTGGGTGCCTCGGGGGAGCCTCTTGGGGCTCGCTTGATAGCTTCTTGAGGCCTCTTGGGGCATCCTGGGCGCCCCTTTGGGGACCTCTTGGGGCCGTCTTGGGGCACCTTTAGGAGCCTTGGGGGCCAACTTGGGGCCATCTTGGAGGAGATCGGGGGCCGTATTCAATTAGAGCCCCCATTCCCTGGAGGCCAAAATGGGTCCAAAACCTTAGTGCAATCAGTGATGTTGGCCTTCTCGCCGAGGCCGTCGTGGACGCTCCAACGGCCAGTGGCCCCTCCCCTCCAGACCCAGGTGGAGGGGGTCGGGGGAGGCGTCGAGCTACCCCCTTGTTAGATAACAGGCCGTCTAGCTCAATCCCACCTGCCCTCCCAAGATATGAGGAACACCCGAGCCTCAGCATGTTCAGCGGTCGCCTTTGGATGGACAGCTACTGGGAAACAAAACCGATTAAATGTGCGCGACGCTGGGGCGAGGTGCGCCACGCGTGCCAGGCGCGCCGCGCGCGCGCCAGGCATCCCTGGGGCCCGAGCGCGCCAGGCGATGGGCAGGGGTCAAGCTACCCTCCTGGGTAGCAGGCCGTCCGGCTCACTCCCCCCTCGCCCTCCCAGGACACGAGCAACACCCGAGCGCCAGCAGATCGCTGAGGAACGCCACACACGTGCCATGCGCGCGACGACGACGACGACGACGACGACGACGACGACGACGACGACGACGACGACGACGGCGACGACGACGACGACGACGGCGGCGACGACGACCCTCCAGGTGCACCCAGGCGCCCAGGAGGCCCGAGCGTGCCAGGTGCGGCACGCGCGCCAGCCCTGCCACGCGCTCCCGCCGCGCCGGCTGCGGGGAACCAGCAGGGGCCCCAGCTGCCGAGGGATCCGAGAAAGGCTTCGAGCCTTCCAGCAGAGGCTCGAAGCCGGCGCCTGATCCAGAAGAGGCTCGAAGCCTTCCAGCAGAGGCTCGAAGCCGACGCGAGGCCTCGAGCTTCCGGTCACGGTGATCTAAGGAAACGGCTCGAAGCCTTCTGGTCACGCGCCGGCTGCGGGGAACCAGCAGGGGCCCCAGCTGCCTGGGGATCTGGCCCCAAGGAGGTCGGGATCTCGAATCCCCCTCGAGCGAAGCGCCGAGCAGCATCCTGCGAGGCCTGCGGCCCTGCCAGGGCGCGCAGGGCACCGGGGGTGCCGATGGGCCAGTTGTGACATCTGTGAGGGGTCGTGCAACAGATGGGAGCTCAGAGAAGCGAGGGCCCTGCGCATGCTCCAGAGTTGGAGCCACAGTGTAGTTGTGCATTTTTTGTGTTGGCAAGGGCGGGTTGGCCCGAGCGCAGCAAGCAAGGTGCCGGCAGTCCCGCCGTCCCTGCCAACAACCAAGGCAGAGTGGTCGCGGAGCGCCTGCGCATGCGCCAGATTTGGAGGCAAAGTGCATCTTGTTTCGTTTTTTGCAAGGGATGGTGGGGGGGGAGGGGCTCATTGGTCCAGGTTGGCTGCCAGTCGCCCGGGGGAGGGGGTGTGCCTGGCGTGGCTCTCCAGCCCTCTGTTGTCGTGACCTTCGCTTTTTGCTCTCTGCTCTTGGCTCTTCGGTTTTTGTTTTCGATTCTCACCTACGTGCTCATTGCTCAGGTACCTTCGGCTAATGTTAAGTCGGGCACGCACCTCTACAGGAGGAACTTCCACAAAGAATTCAAAAATAGTCTGGGGAGGTGTTTTTTATGTCTGACTTTTCTAGATGTCTTCAAGTATTTCCATTTTCGCCAAAAATCCAGATGCAGGAGGACCTGCCCGACCTGATGCTAATGTCAGTCAGCCTGAGACAAGCAATAGCTATATCAGGCCGAGTCTGCTCGGGCCAGCGAAACGCAGCTCGGCGCAAAGCTACGCGAAGCTAAAATAAGGCGTGTCCTTGAAAGTCTACACGATCGCTCATAGGCACACTCGCGGTCACAATATTGAGCACAACCGTGCGCCTTGGCATCATGGCACCTATTGGCACGGACACGGGCGTGGGCATAGAGTTCCCAAGCATCGCTTGCTTCTCGATGTGTGTGGCCTGCACCTCGTCGGCGGCCGCGGGTGCGGGCCGTGGACCGCACCGCCGCCTTCAACGGGCACGCCGCCTTGTTCCCAGACATCCGACGGTTTTTATGCTGTTTGTTTTGTTATGTTCTCTCTCTCTCTCTTTTGTTGTTTTTGTTGTACTCTCTCTCTCTATCTTTCTTTCCCTCTCTTTCCTTCTCTCTCTCTCTCTCTCTCTCCCTCTCTCCCTCTATATTACAAGGGACTCCTGGCATTGGGACCCCTTCTGCGGGACCAGTTTCTCATCCTGAGCTGATTCGTTGACGGTCCCAAGGCCTTGTGAGGTCCCCCGGAGGCCGAAAGCAGTTAAAAACCGTTCGTCCGGATTTTCACGACGCGAGGACGTCGGGATTTGCCGAGACCCATGTGCCGAGGCGTCGTCCAGCAGCTGGCGTGCGGGGGCCTGAATGCGCGGCGCCTGTACGACTCGGGAGGCGACGCTGAGCCGCCCTGACCTGCTGGAGGCGCGCGGCCTGGGCCTGGGGAGAGCCGCGGCATCCCCGCGAGCGCGCAGGCAGCGGGGAAAAGGAGTTCTTCGGGCTGGGCTGGGGCAGGGATCAATCGTTCCAGAGCGTTCCAATCAGCCAGAGCGCTTCGGAGCGCTCTCAGAGCGCTCCGTGACGCTCGGAGGAGGCCGCGGCGCCCGAGACATCCTCCAGAGTCGCCAGATCTCAGATGTCTCCCACGTGTCCTGTCTCGATGTTGCCCCTGGCCTGGCCTCGCCTCGGTTCTCGGCGGCGCGCCGGCTTTGTCCTTCTCCCCCGGAGGGCGCCAGCTGCGCACGCGTGTTGTCGCGTCTGGGGGACCTTCCTGGGGGGCCACCTGACGGCTCCGTTCGACTCGAGTTCGGCTCCAGCCTGATAGCTCGGCTCAAGTTTGACGGAAGTTCGGCTCACGTCGGCGGACGTTCGACGAAGCATCGACGCACCAGAGGAGCGAGTGGTTCCAGGAAGGCTCCCAGAACGGGCATCCAAGGTGTCCAGCCCTTCCCGCAGACGGGCGCCGGACAGACCAGCTGTGCACCTGCACCGGTCGTGGCCAGGCCGATCCTGGGCTCGGGATCGGTGTAGGTATGCCTTCTTGGCCAGGTACAGTCGGGGCCCTGAAGAAGGAACCCTTTTGGTTGGGGAGGGGCTCCGCGTTCCTTAAGTGTTTCACAGCTTGCCTCAGGTTGTCCTGATGTTTTCGATAGGAAATCGAAGTTTAACTTATGGAAAAAAGGGGCCTCGTTCCGTATTTAGGGTTCCTTAGGTCAGCGCCCCGACTGTATGTCACTGAGGGGGGAGGGCGTGGGATTGGTGGATGATGGAGGGGCGGAGGAGCAGCATGAGGAGGATGAGGAGCATGGAGGAGCGGGGGGGTGGAGCTCACCGTGCTGCCCCGTCCTCGGGGGGAGTCGCCCTTCCCAGGCCTCTGGCTGGGTTGCTCGCTCTTCTCGGCCGCCGCCGCTCTCTTTCTCTTGTCCCGCCCCTGTCGGCTGCTGCCGCTCGTTGCTCCCGGATGAACCGCGTTCTCGCCTGACTCTATCCAAACTCATGTATTCAAGATTTGCTCCCCCGTCGCTCTGGAATCGTGCTCTCGCCCAGGACTCCACACTTTACTTGGGGATTTACCGGGGCTCGCGACTCGAGGTCCCGCCCGCCCGACCCGCCCGATGGGCCCGCCCGCCCGGCCCGCCCTTTGGGGCCCCCGCGCTTGGCCCGCCCGTCAGGATCCGCCCGCCCGACCCGCCCCGTTGGGCCCGCCGGGTCGATGGGCCCGAACGCCCCGCCCGCCAGAAGGTCCCGCCCGCCCCGCCCGGCCGTCCTGTAGGGTCCGCCCGCTCGGCCCGGCTGTCTTCATTCTGGGCCTCCTCGACGGGGTCGGAGCAGATGGGGTCCGAGGATCGCGCCGCATCGCCGATGCAGCGACGATGCGGTTCGATGCGGAGCCAGATCTCCTCCATGCCGACGTCGCCGTTGCGTCTCCGACGTCGGCGATGCACTGGCGAGGCGGTGCGTTCTACTCGGACCCCATCTAGGAGGCTCCTATTCACGTCCGCCGCGCCCGCCGCGCCCGCTCTTTTACCCCAGCCTCCTCCTCCTCCTCCTCCTCCTCCTCCTCCTCCTCCTCCTCCTCCTCCTCCTCCTCCTCCTCCTCCTCCTCCTCCTCCTCCTCCTCCTCCTCTGCTCCCCCCTTCTCTCCGCTTTTCCCTCCCTCCTGCTCCCCGGTGTTCCTCCTCCTCCTCCTCCTCCTCCTCCTCCTCCTCCTCCTCCTCCTCCCCCACCTCCCCGGGTCTCGCGCAGCCCCCTGCAGCTTGAAAGGGGGGGGGGGCGGAGGGCGACGCAGGGCCTGCGGCGGGTGGCCGAGGGCGCCGTGCCCGCCGAGCCCGGGCGAAGAGTCCCTCCGTGGGCCGAAGAGGTCTGCAGCCCGAGAAGGCCGCTCGCATTCGGGGGCAACGACAGGGCGGGGTAGGCGTAGGGAGGGATGCATCGACCCCGAACCGCCCGTTGGTCGCCGATAGGGGGCCGACAGCTCCAACCTGCACAGGGAGGTGCGGATTCGCTATCGGGGGCGTAACGCCGATCTATCGGCGATGTATCGCCGATTCCAGGTCGATGCATCCCCCCTGTGCCAGTTTCCCTCCCCCCCTATTGTTGTCCCTCATCTTACCGCCACGCGCCCTCTTCTTCCCCTCCTCTCCACAGGTCCTGGGCCCGCCCCGCGGCGCCGACGTGAATCACGGGGGCCCGTGCCATCCGGAGACGGGTGGGTGGGTGGAGGAGGGGGGGGATGAGGAGATGTTGATCTCTGTGCGGCGGAATCAGTGGTAGTGTATCCGATGTAGTGGGCTCTCGAGCTCCCTTCTTTCCAAGAAGCACTACCAGCTATCAGCCAGCAGCTCGCAAACCAGCTCTGCGCCAGCGAAGGGCGTGTTCACCACATGCTACTCTGGCCTGACCTCGTAGGTCGTAGAAGAGATGTATTGTCTAAGTGCTAATTCAAGATATCAGAGGTCATGGTTTCAGTTTCCCGTTGCCAGACATGCAGCCAGATGGCGCCCTTGGAGCACGCAAGGGCGTCGGCACATATGAGAGTGTATGACAGAGCAGGGCAACGCATTCTGAAATCCGAACGTGCAGGGCTTGCAGGAGGAGTGGGAAGAGCGAGGAGCAGCAGCAGGACCAGGAGGGCCAAGGCCCTGCCCAAAGACGATCGCCTGCGGCCATACTGGCGCACGGTATGGCGCGTGTCCAGCGAAGCCTTGCCCCGGGGCATGCGTGCGGCTTGGTCTTTAAAGGATCATCCGGGGCGGCAGAGGGGGGGGTGATGACTAGGGGGGGTGGATTTCATGGCGCGGGCAATGATTTGTCCTCAGATTTCATGGCGCCTCCTCTTATTTTATTATGTCCCTGGCCCCCCCCCGGGGCCGCGCACGTGTCGCCAGCCATGATTTGCACCCCCCCCTCTTGGACGCCCCCCTCTTGGCTGCTCCCGAGATCAGCCCTCTCCGCCGGTGCTCTTGTGAGCACACCACCAGACGAAGTCGGCGTGGAGATCGTTGGATCGTTTGGTGCGAAAGCCCGCGTCGTGTGTGTGGTGTTCAGTGCCTGCGCCTGGCGCCCTGGGGCCCGCGACAGGAGTGGAGGAGGGGAGGGAGGAGAGGGAGGAGGGGAGGGAGGAGAGGAGGAGGGGAGGAGGGGAGGGAGGAGAGAGAGGGGAGGGGAGGGGAGGAGAATGGGAGGAGGGAGGAGGGGAGGAGGGGAGGAGAGAGGGAGGGAGGGGAGGGAGAATGGGAGGAGGGGAGGGAGGAGAGGGAGGAGGGGCCCTGGCGCCCTGGGGCCCGCGACAGCGAGTGCGCCTGGCGCCCTGGGGCCCGCGACAGGCGGGCGCGGGCGGAGGACGCGTGGGCGCGGAAGCGCCGCCGCAGCAGGCCTTTGGCCGAGGGCGCCGCTCCTCCCGACCGCGCTCCGCGCCGCGCGCGGGGCGAATGCGGGGCATGCGACCGGCAGGTCGAGGTCTGGAGCGATGGCCTCCTCCTCCTCCTCCTCCTCCTCCTCCTCCTCCTCCTCCTCTTTCTCCTCCTCGGGGGCCCTCCTCCTCGTCCTCCTCCTTTCCTCCTCGTTCTCCTCCTCGTTCTCGCTCTCGGCGCCGCCCCTCCCCGGTCCTGTCCACCTTCCTCTTGCAGCTCCTCCTCGCCCTCCTCGGCGCCGTCGTCCTTCCCTCGTTCCCTTTCATCCACGCTCTCCTTGGAAACACTGGACCATGCGATGTGATGTGTTGTTCAGTACGAGGTCCCCGTAAGTCCCGACTCTTTCCCCAGGGCCAGTTTTTCATCGCGAGTCGTGTTTCACGGTCCTTCGGCCCGAAGCGAGCTCCCTGGAGACCGACTGCGGCCCCCAAACCTCCCAGGGGAGGCCCTGAAGCGGTCCCCGACGCCCCTTGGAGAGGAGTCCGACTCAGCCGTGCCCGACTTCGTCTGATCATGGGATGCATGGCTTCAGGCCCGTCGCCAAAGGTCGGCCACGCGCCGAGGGGGACAGGGGGAGGGGGTAAGGCTTCTTAGAAGCACCCCTGCTTCTTGGAAGGCGCGGGCCTTGTCTGTAGATGTAAGGCCGGCACCTTCTGAGAAGCACCCTCCTAAGGAGCCTTACCCCCTTTCCCCTACCCCCTTGTGCGCGCCGCCGAACGGGTGTTGCTCGAAGTGCCCCTGGCCCAAGGTGCCCCCAGGATTTCCAGGGAGGCCCCCACGGCCTCCAGAGCAGCCCTCACGAGGCCCAGTGGGCCCCAGGGGCGCCAAAATCAATCGAACAGCTGGGTGCACCCTGAGCCAGGGGCCGCTTGAGCAGCCTCCTTCTAACAAGCCTTCCCCCTATCCCCCTGACCCCCCTTGTTGTGCGCGCCGCCAAGAGGGGTGGGTGGGGGGAGGGCGGGGGGGCGACGCTGAACGCATGCACATGGCTTGGGCCCCGCCGCGGGGCGGGCGCTCTCCTCGAAGCAGAGGCGCCCCTGGCGCCGGGAGGCGCCAGAAAGAGCAGCCCGCGTGGGCTGGTTCCCTTCCCCCCCCCCTTCTGCTGTCCTCAAGCAGTGGCGAAACGTCCTGGCGTGCCTATAGTCCCGCCGAACAGTGTTCTGAGAACCTCCTGTGGTGTCGACGAGCTGTTCTTAGGACATTTCTGGCCGAGGCTGTCTTGTTTACCACATCTGGCTTCTGTTCTGAGAGCAGTGTGTTTGTGTTTGGAGCATTTCTGGGTTCTAAGGACATGTCGTGGTAGGCGTATAGGAATGCTGGGACGGTCGGTCCTTGCTGAATAGTCCCGCGTGTTTTCCGCACCGGGTGAGTCTCTCTCTCTCTCTCTCTTTGTTTAGAGTCTTGTGCGCTGCGAACTCTTCAGGCCGGTGTCCCGCCCCTCCCCGCGCAGTCTTGGCGTTGTTGTTGTTGCCCACGTTGGGCTCGGGCCCAGGGGCCCTCGCGGAGATATCGGGCCCCGGCTCCTCCCCCGGGGTGTTTTTGTTCGCCCTGGATCCAGTTTTGAAGGCCCCCG